ACAATGTTATGGTCCTTTAAATGAGATCCCCGACATAATCATCCCCGTCTTTGAGTTGGTGTTTCGCTCTATTTCGTGGGCCCAAATTTTTTTTGTACCTGAGAAAATGGGTGAAAAATTAGCAGAAAATTCGGAGTGTGGAAATTAGGAAAAGGTGTGGAGTTAATAAAAGTATTAGTCAGAGGGCTGAAGAGGGGTTGTTGAGGTGGTTTCGTAATTTAGAGAGAATGAATCCAAGTAGAATGACATGGAGAGCATTTAAATCTGTAGGGGAAGGAAGGCGGGGTAGTAGACGTTCTTGAAAAGGTTGGAAGGCAGGGGTAAAGGAGGTTTTGTGGGCGAGGGGCTTGGACTTCCAGCAGGCATGCATGAGCGTGTTCGATAGGAGTGAATGGAGACAAATGGTATTTGGGACCTGACGATCTGTTGGAGTGTGAGCAGGGTAATATTTAGTGAAGGGATTCAGGGAAACCGGTTATTTTTATATAGCCGGACTTGAGTCCTGGAAATAGGGAGTACAATGCCTGCACTCTAGAGGAGGGGTTCAGGATATTGACAGTTTGGAGGGATATGTTGTGTATCTTTATATGTATATGCTTCTAAGCTGTTGTTCTGAGCACCTCTGCAAAAACAGTGATTGATGTGTGTGAGTGAGATGAACAAGTTGAATGATGGTGAAAGTATTTTTTTGGGGGATTTTTTCTTTTTGGGTCGCCCTGCCTCGGTGGGAGACGGCCGACTTGTTAAAAAAAAAAAAAAGTAATTATTGGTTTCTGTGATAGCTGAAGAAAGTTTTTTGAGTGGCTGTGTAAATCCTAATTTGTCAGTTTTAAACAAATTGGGATGTTGGTTTCCATGCAAAAACTGGAGACTACCTTTACTGATAGGTTTCAAAAATTGAAAGCTGTGTAGGTGCCAATTATATTGAAATTGTACTGATTTACATGCACTAATTTAAAAGTACCTCTACTGATTGACCTCAAACCTTCGTTGTTATATAGACAAAGGTTTGCATTATCTAATTTGAATCCACAATCGATTCAAATTAGGTAAGTTTAAATTTAGAAAGGATATAGGAAAGTACTGGTTTGGTAATAGGGTAGTTGAGTGGAATGGTCTGCCTAGTAGGGTTGTCAAAGCTAAATCCTTGGGTAGTTTCAAATTTAGGTTGGATAAGTACACAAGTGAGAGGGGTTGGATGTGAATGGGACTTGCATATGAGTGAATAGAATTGTCAAATCTTATTCCTTGGGTAGCATTTATTTTTGTTTGTGGGTTGGATTTGTGAAGGACCTGCCTAGTATGGACCTACTGCAGTGTTCCTCCTTATGTTCTTATTGTATTCATTGATCCTCTTAAGGGTGTTCGTCTACACCTGGGCTTTGAGATTAAGTTACAGGTGCTAAATGACAGTGTACTGGACCTCTTCAAGTTATTGATCTCTTGCCCTTGGACCTCTTGAGGATTGAGCTTTATCCAGGGTTTTGAAGTACAACTATTATGCCTCACAAACATTTAGGTAAAGAGGGACAACTTTCTCTTTCCTTTCGCCACAGCTGTCTTATACTAAGGTAGGGTGACAAAAAAAAAATGCTCGTTCGTTAAGTTGACCCTTTCTCGGTCGGTCCCGTAATACTAGGCCAAAGTTCTTGCTGGAGAAAGCTTGTAGGCCTACATATGAGAGAAAGGGTCTGAGTGGTCAGTGTGTACAGTATAAAAAGAATCCTGTGCAGCATGCACTGCATAATAAAAAACTGCAACCACGTTTTTGGTTTAAAACAGTGACTTTGAGGTGTATTTTCGTATGGTATTTATGATTGTATTCTCATTTTCTTTCTCATTTGATAGAATGGGAGATATACTACAGAAAAAGATGATTTTGAATATTTTACAGGCTAGAAGTAGGTTGAACTTGAGCTCAAAGTAGCAGACATATTTGATTTTTGATGATGATCAAGAGTAACCAGGTCACATCACGTGTCCAATACACGCCAACTGGTGGATCTGATATGCTTTCACAAATGCACTTATATTATTTAAAGCATTTTTACAATAATGCAGTAGTGTGTATAACAGTAAATCTAATTTTTGTGTGAATAAAAATTCAAAATGGTAAGCAGCATAATATGAGAGGGGCCCAGAGATGTGACTAATGAACAGAGAAAATGTTATTTTAGTGCTAGGGATGTTTGCATTGTTTATTCTGGACCCTATTTTGAAATTGGCCTTGAATTTTGTATAAAATTGGCCAAGTTTTCCAATTTCTGATCACTGTTGGGTACTTGAAATAGGTAAATGGGTGGTTTCTTGTGCTCAATCAATAGAACAAAAGGAGTGTTAGCAAAATAACAATGAATATAGCCAATTGGTACAATGGAATTGGCCCAAAATAGGGTTCAAAATAGGTGAAATTGCCGAGACTGCAAAGTTTGCGAGTGTAATTCCATAATTTTTCCATTAAATTTCGTACTTTTGGTTTCGTTACCATCAGAAAGATTTTCTCACAAGCTGTTGTAGTTCCCCTCCCCCCCATTCTTTGACACTGAGAGCAAGTTTGCGAGCAGGGGTCTTGACGGTGAAAGGGTTAAGTAACTATGGAGCCAGAAGTGGAAGGATATAATTCAACTGACCCTCCCAACAACAACTTTCCCATGCCTCATTTTCAGTGTCAGCATTACTTCCCACCTCCAGAATTATGCTAATTTTGAATCCTGTCATGAATGTTAACTTGCTCACACTTGATACAAAATCCTAAAATTCGCTAGTTTTATTTGCAGTGAGGAGGAAGATGGAGGTAGTGGAAATGTTGTCTGAGGGCAATGTGTGGTGTAAATATTATGCAGAGAATTCATAGTTCAGAGATTAGGAGGTGCAGAGATAAGGTATTATGCATAGAGCTGAGGATGGGTTTTTGAGGTGGTTTGGTCATTTAGAGAGAATGGAGCAAAATGCGATGACTTGAAGGATGTATAATTATGTAGTGTAGGGAAGGCTGGGTAGGGGGTTGTCTTGAGAAGGGATGGATGGAGGGGGTAAAGGAGGTTTTGTGTGCAAGGGAGTTGAGCATACAGCAGGCATGTGTGAGCATGTTAGATAGGAGTGACTGGAGACAAGTGGTTTTTGGAACCTGACAAGCTGTTGAAATGTGAGCAAAGTAATATTTTGTGAAGGGATTTGGGGAAACCAGTTTTGAGAGTCCTGGAGGTGGGAATGCACTTAACCCCTTGACTGTCGCAACTCCAAATCCTGAGGCGTCTCCTGGTGTCGCCAAAAAAATCCCTACCCCCCCTTCCCCCCAATCTTATGGAATGATAGAGAATCTTTTCTCGATTGTAATGACACCAAAAGAATGTAATTTGATGGAAAACTGATGGAATTACACTCTTGTGAAGTTAGCAACCTTGGCGATATTTATGAATTGGCGATTTCGCCCACTTTGAACCCTATTTTCAGCTAATTCCATTGCTCCAGTCGACCAAACTCATAGCTATTTCTTTAGAACTCTATTTTTTCTATCGATTACGTACAAGAAACTGTCCATTTACTGATTTCAACTACCCAATAATGTGGTCAGAAATTTGCAATTTAGCCAATTTCACAGAAATTAAAAAATATGACAATTTCAAAATAGGGTCCAGAATGAACACTGCAGACATTCCTGGCTCTAAAATAACATTTTCTATGCTGATCAGTCATGTCTCCAGGCCTCTCTGATATTACTCTTGCTTTCTATTCTGAATTTTTATTCAAACAAAAAATAAGATTTACTGTTATGCAGACTACTGCAATATTGTAATATTTTATTTTTTTTTTTATCACACCGGCCGATTCCCACCAAGGCAGGGTGGCCCGAAAAAGAAAAACTTTCACCATCATTCACTCCATCACTGTCTTGCCAGAAGGGTGCTTTACACTACAGTTTTTAAACTGCAACATTAACACCCCTCCTTCAGAGTGCAGGCACTGTACTTCCCATCTCCAGGACTCAAGTCCGGCCTGCCGGTTTCCCTGAATCCCTTCACAAATGTTACTTTGCTCACACTCCAACAGCACGTCAAGTATTAAAAACCATTTGTCTCCATTCACTCCTATCAAACACGCTCACGCATGCCTGCTGTAATAATTGTAATAATTGTATAAATAATGTCAACCCAGTCATGACTGCACATTAGAATGGCTACTTGGACATTTATTGGATAATGACGACATTTGTTTACTTTTGAACATCGGCAAACATCAAACATTTCCCCTACTTTGAGTTCCATTTCAAGGTTCTTTTCATAGTAAAACCAATCAAAATCACCTTTATTTCTATAATATGTTTTCCATTCTATCAAATGAGGCCAAGAAAACGAGAATACAACCATAAATGCTATACGAAAATAGAACACAAAGTCGGCATTTTAATTTAAAAAAAAAAAAGTCGAAGTTTTTTTTTTCTCATGCACTGCGTTCTGCAGGATTTTTTTAATATGGTGCACACTGACCACACAGACCCATTCTCTCACATGTGGGCCTCTGAGCTTTCTCCTGCTTGATTTGAAGCCGCTAGAATCGATGAGTGTATATACGTCAAAAATGGTGGCTCGTAAAACGTATATATACGACCGAAACAGTCAAAGGGTTAAAGGAGGGGATTGGGATATTTGCTCTTTTGAGAGATATCTGAACTGTCGTATCTGTACACCTCTGGTAAGACAGTGATAGTCTGGATGATAGTGAAAGTTTGTTTTTTGGGGTTGCTCTGCCTTGGTGGGAGATGTCTAGAGTGTTAAAAAAAAAAAAAAAGTTAAACCCAAGTCATTAACTAACCTGCCTCTTCCTTTTTTTATTATTATTATTATTATTATTATTATTTCAGAGTTTAAATGTGTCTGGGAGCTTGTCATGCTTATGACCAAGGTAATGCTTGTATTTTGGCAACTTGTTGCCCAAACTTTGATTGTAGATTGGCTTTTTATTTTTCATTATGCCTATTCTTCAGAATAATATTTTTACAGGGTTTGGCAGTAACCTTTGTCAGTGAAGAAAGTGATGCAAAGACCCTTAATGAAGTTCAGGAACGATTTGATGTTAACATCACAGAACTACCTGATGAAATTGATCTCTCTTCATATATTGAGGGACGCTAGCTGGAAAGTGTTGGCACGCAAAATAATTTTAAGGTAGGTTATATAACTAATTCTACAACTGTACTAGTGTTTTTAAGAGCTCTGTCTTTAGATAGTAATGTACATGTATTTTGGGATCACCTGAAGTGGAATTTGGGATCACCTGAAGACTCCACCCATCTCCACAAACACAAAGGAAAACTAAAATGTAGCTAAATAAATTAATAGGTTGGTTGGGAAAATTGATATTTTATATTAGATATTGTATTAGATATTTTATATTAGGAAAATTGCAAAGGTTAGTGGATGAATTTGGGAGTGTGTGTAAAGGTAGAAAGTTGAAAGTGAACATAGAAAAGAGTAAGGTGATGAGGGTATCAAATGATTTAGATAATGAAAAATTGGATATCAAATTGGGGAGGAGGAGTATGGAAGAAGTGAATGTTTTCAGATATTTGGGAGTTCATGTGTCAGCAGATGGATTTATGAAGGATGAGGTTAATCATAGAATTGATTGTGGGAAAAAAGGTGAGTGGTGCATTGAGGTGTATGTGGAGACAAAAAATGTTATCTATGGAGGCAAAGAAGGAAATGTATGAAAGTATAGTAGTACCAACACTCTTATATGGGTGTGAAGCTTAGGTTGTAAATGCTGCAGTGAGGAGGCAGTGGAGATGTCCTGTCTAAGGGCAATGTGTGGTGTAAATATTCTGCAGTAAATAGTGTGTGGAAATTAGGAGAAGGTGTGGCGTTAATAAAAGTATGTCAGAGGGCTGAAGAGGGTTTGTTGAGGTGGTTTGGTCATTTAGAGAGAATGGATCAAAGAATGACATGGAGAGCGTATAAATCTGTAGGGGAAGGAAGGCGGGGTAGGGGTCGTCCTCGAAAAGGTTGGAGGGAGGGGGTAAAGGAGGTGTTGTGGGTGAGGGGTTTGGACTTCCAGCAAGTGTGCGTGAATGTGTTAGATAGGAGTGAATGGAGACAAATGGTATTTGGGACCTGACGAGCTGTTGGAGTGCGAGCAGGGTAATATTTAGTGAAGGGATTCAGGGAAACCGGCTATTTTATATAACTGGACTAGAGTTCTGGAAATGGGAAGTACAATGCTTGCACTCTAAAGGAGGGGTTTGGGATATTGGCAGTTTGGAGGGGTATATTGTGTGTTTTTATACGTATATACTTCTAAACTGTTGTATTCTGGGCACCGCTGCAAAAACAGTGATTGTGTGAGTGAGGTGAAAATGTTGAATAATGATGAAAGTATTTTCTTTTTGGTGATTTTTTCTTTCTTTTTGGGTCACCCTGCCTCGGTGGGAGACTGCCGACTTGTTGATTTTTTTTTTTTTTGAAAGATTAAATTTACACATGCTATGTTTATGCAAACTAAAAAAAAAATTCCCTAACAATATTCCAGTTTTCTCGAAGAGGAAGTGATTTTTCATGTGATTGTTAGTTTTCCCACGTGAAAAAATAAGATTGAGATACTTCGGATGCATTATATCCTTCATTTTTTTTTTCTTTTTTTTTTCAGGTGGTACATTACATTCGTCCATGGGAAGTGGAAGAAAATTGTGTAGGTGTGATTTACTTCATTCAGGAAACTGTTTGCTGAGTGAGGAAGCTTCTTATTTTCTGACAAGTAAAAGTATCTTTTACAATTAAAAGTGTTTGTAAATTTATAAAATGACCAAAGTATTCATTTGTGAAGTTCTTAACTGAATGTTATCATTTAAATTAAATGTATGTGATTTTTTTTCTCATATTTTTATGTATGATAGAATTAGTAGAACCACTTGCTACTAAAGTACAAGTTTTGTGTACATCATAGCCTTGAATAGTTTTAAGGTATAATAAATATTGTAATGAAAGTAGTTTTAAATAACCTTGTTGGTGTATGTATAAATACCAAGTACCATAAGAAAAAGAATTGTTAAGTCTTTGTATAACATGCAACACACTGTAGATCTGGCGAATTATTTACAAGTAGATGTACACAATTGCATCAACAACTTTTTCTTGTTCGTGATAGCTATTACCTTCAAGGAAGGTTCCTTGATGGTGAGGGGTTCAAGATCCCTTCCAGGGGATTTGAGCTACTTGATATCCTCACATCCCATTTCCCAGGTGCTGTATGACATCAGGTTTAGCACTTGAAAATAGATTAATAGAGAAGCTTAGGGATGGGTATCTTGATAATGATCAAGGGCCATTGATTGACAATTTTCCCATTCCTTTTTTTTGGATCAACCTCAAATTCCTTCCATTTCCAAGATATTGCCTTATCCCTGCCAGTTCAGCGCTTCCCTAGGTCTAAAATGATACGGATCATCCCCTAAATGCCTCTGTCTTCAGTTCTCTTCAGCTGTTCAACACTTGTACCTCAACCTCCCCTTCATCCCCATAACATACAAAATCTATCACCTTGAGTCCTTCACAAGCTTACCATGACCAAATTGACTGCTGCTACATCAAAAGTATGAGTATATACCCTTTTACACCCCTTTCTTTCTCGGACGGTAAGTCTGTCCTCGTTTTAGCAAATGTACATTACTTAAGCCAACTAGTCCTTTGCAACCCCATTCCTTGACAGCTGCCATCTCTAAACTTAACCTAGCTTTCCTTGCCATTCCCACATTATGCTTTCACTTTTTAGAGACAATGGTTATGTATCAAGAGACAGCTGCAAATGCACTTTAATAGGCCCTTTAAATAGCAAACCGATACGATTCTCGTGTAAACTGAAACTTGTGCATTCCCCAATATAATCCTATGTTAACATCAACATTCCAGCCTCATGATCCCCTCTCTTTTGCCTTTATTTTGCCACTTATGCTTGTAACCAATATGCAACACACCACAGAAATTCCTATCACTAGTATATCTATTAAGACCTTGGTGTTCTCTACTGCAGTATTACAAGTAATAATGTCAGTTTTTCAATGCAATATCAAGATGTGGGGAGTTGTGGAGAGCTAGTTCTCCCCCTTAAGCCAGTTTTCCCCCTTAAGTATGTCTTCAAGAGCCTAACCCCTTAAGGGAATGTCCAATGCCAACGAGGGACTTTGAGCCAAGGAATTGGACCTGATCTCCATTTCCTTAGTGAACCTATACCATTTATTGGGTCATTTTAATGTTTATCACTCGGTGTGCAGTGGGTTATGCAGTGACGTGCAAAAACTGGTCATTTTCTCTCATCTCGAAATGCCAGTATTCATGCACCTAGATTCTTTTGTATAGATCACTTTAGTCCCTATATGCTGTATGACCTGCAAGGGTTCAGTGCTTCCCTTATAATTATCCTCTAACAGCATTAATTAGATTGGGTAGGAAACGATTGACTAATCAGTTCCCTATTCTTTCTACTTGCCATTCTTACCCGACTTTAATTCTAATGGACATTTCATGTACACACGCACTTCAGGGTGTTCCTCCTGAACCACTCTTATTTATTCTCTCTGAAGCCCCACTTTCAGTACCACAGACCTAGGAGAAATACACTACCCTGGGGTGCTCTGACTGTGCTCATGCGGTTCATTGAAACTTGCTGTATGGAGATAGGCAAATGAATGTGTTAGTATGGTTACATATCCAGTCCAATGAAACTGCCATTATTTTCTGGAAAAACTAAGTAGTATTAAGCAGGAAAGTAGTCTGCCACCCTCCCATCCCTTTAAAGGGGGGCTCCTGGTGGTCAAGAGGCTAATGGTCTGAGAAAGTGGACCTTTGTCTTTCTCAAACCCAACCTAATTATCCCCCTTTCCCTTCCATATCCCCCTTTCCCTTCCATCCTCCCCTTTCCTCCTCCTCCCCCATCCCTTCCCTATCCCCTTTGTTTTCAACCTTTGTGGTTCTTCCCTCAGGCATTCTAGTTCCTAGGTAGGGGGAAAGGTACTGTGGTCCAACCCATTCCGTTGAGGTCCTTGGTGGTAGTGTAGTTTGCCGTGGACCTGGATCAACTGGGGATGTCTAATTCCCTTTCAGGTTCTTGGAGGGAGGGGGGTGTTTTGGGTGTCTCGAGTGACAGGTGCATTTCTGGAGGCTGCTTGTTGGATTCCGGGAGGTAGTCGAAGGAGGTCTGCTTTGTGGCGGGTATCCGGCTGCCCTCTTTGTCCACCGAGGTGGCTCGGTAGATGTGAGGCTGCTATCCTGGATTGCTGGTTTACTGGTATGAAGGGTAGGGTATGGCACGGGTTCCATGCCTCATCTGTACTACTTGTACTGGGGTCCTTTTGGGTGCAGAGGGGGGATTCACGGCCCTTTTATTCCTCCTAGGAGCTATTCCTTCATGTTCCCCTCTTTATTTTTTCCAAAAAACAAAAGGAAAGAAGTGTCATAGCTAAGGAGTCCCAAGTCCATGACCAAGCTCCTCCCGGGTCCCTTTCTGCTACCACACCCTGTTCCGACCCTATCTTGTTATCTGACCATTCTTTGGACCTTTCTCATGACCCTGTAACTTTTGCTGGTACCGTTTCACCACCAGTTCCAGGTGCCGAGTTTCCACCCGGCTCCTTCGATTCATCCGACCTCCGCACTTCTTTGATCAGGCTTCCGGCTTCTTTCTCTTTGGTATGACGATTCTCGGATTGTCCACCCATCTCAAGTCTGACCAACTCCGGTCCCACACCTAAATGACCAAGACCATCAAGTGATGACACTTCTATTACTTCTCACTCTGCCCAGGAAAGACCGGCATGATACTCGCTTCCCTTATTACATTTCAGAGTACACAATGGATTAAATTTTTTTACTCTACAACCGACCTCTACTGAGTATCTTTCAGATCGTAGCATCGGCAAGACGCTCATACACCATGTTGGCCAAAATATTTCATCGTGCTCTCAAGCAGTGCACGCATCGTCACGGTACACAATGCTAGCCAAGCCCACGATCTTTCTCTCCTTAACTTCTTTTTGATTATAATTTCTCTCCTTACCACAGTAGATGCTATCCCTGTAACAATTCAGACACGCCACTCTCAATTCTTGTAGTGGTACCATTATTCTACCTCGTACCCTTGTTCAACATATAGACGTGGTGACAACATTCTCGAACAACTTGAGCTCCAAGACCTCCCAATTCTCAAAGTAGACACATGTATACTAACTGCCCACGGGCGGAGACGCTACCCCTGCAATGTAGCTCGCTTAACTTTAGATTGTTGTGAGCTTCTGTCCTCCATTTATATTGCTGGGCACCTCAAGTTCAAGCCCCTTAAGGGAGGTTCCTTGATGCTGGTGTGGGGCTCTTGATCTTGGGAACTGGATCTGTGCTCTGGTTGCCTGAATAACCCCCCACCCCCGATGCACTGTATAATCCTACGGGTTTAGCACTCCTCCATGATTATAATACTAATAATCCAAGTTCAAGAGTTGATCCCTACACCACAACAATGCAGAAATTGCTGGTGCTTTGGCCACCCAGCAAAATATGGCGGGTCCGTGACAGTGCCCAGTCTGTGGTGCTGACGACCATACAACTACATCCTGCAATCTGAATCCCTCTTGCCTTAATTGTAATAAGGTTCATGTGGATTTTTCTCGCCATTGACAAGTTTACGTAAAAGAACAAGAAATTCGTTGCCATGCCTGTCTCTCATCTTCGCCTCTAGTGGAGACTTCCACGACTTTCTTATTCTAGATCTCCAACCTTGGTAGTACCCAGTCCTTGCCCCCGAGGTTCCTACCTTAGTGCCTAATACTGTTCTTGAATCTTTGTCTTCACACTTGCATGTTTCTATGCCTACAAGACCGCATAACTACACCACCTCGTCTCTCCTTTGAAAATCAAACCATCCCCAAAGTTTAAACTTCCTTTTACCCCTTCTTCACAGCCTTTCCAAATATTTTTCCTTTCTAGTTTCTGTACTTAGTTCTTTACCTCTTACTAGTTCTGTTACTAGCGTAGAGGTTCATCCTCCCCCTCGTACAGTCCTCTCCCAAGTTCTTCTGTCCCCTCCCAAGTTTCTTCCCAAGTTAACTCTACCTTCTCATCCCCCCTTCTTTGGCATTTTCCATCACCTCCGATCTTTGCTCACCCTTCCCCTTCTACCTCTGATGTCGTACTACATGCAACTTCCTTGTCCTCGGAAACACTTGAAGCTATCTTCGAATATATTGAGGAGACAAAACCCATCTCTTCTCGCTCGTCTAAACCATCTACACAACTAATTTCTTTGTAGTGTTCCAGTCCTTCGCTGCTTACTCATTTTCCCCTTCCTCCACATGTAGACTTTCGTACCCATACTAGTTAGAAGACATCTACTTCATATTCCCGATATACCGTTCTTGCAAATCATGGCTTATTTACGGTGGGATATCCGGGGCCTCGGGTAATCACGGTGAGCTTCAGGTGTTCTCTCAGTTTTCCAATTGTGTGTGTTTACAAGAACCTAAACTACGCTCTGCTGTTATCCATCCCATCTCGGGCTATGTTGCTGTATAGCCCTTGTGGTTTAGCGCTTCTTTTTTATTATAATAATCGGGCTATGTTTTATTACATTCATCTGATCTTTATCCCGATGGAACTTTTAATGAAAGGGCACTTCTTGTGCTCACTGGTATACCATGCCTTCAGATCTAAATTGCTGTATAGCCCTTGTGGTTTAGCGCTTCTTTTTGATTATAATAATCAGATCTTAATTCATGCTTCGCTGCATTACACAGCAGCTCGCATCTACTTGAACAAGTGGTATACAGTATGTTCTTTGTATCTCTCCCCTTCTCGAGCATTATCTATCCCAGATGTTGCGTTTCTTTTTTTTCTTTACCGCCACCTATCCTGTTATTAGGTGATTTTAATGCTCATCATTTCCTCGGGGGGGGGGGGGGGGGTTCCCACTGTGACTCCTGTGGTAATCAGTTACAGGCTC